AATGAAATATTGCTCCCTTCAAAATATGAATATGAATTTAAAAAATTGACTTGGCTAAGTCACATTACAGATCGATGCCTTTGCTATCTCTCGTGATAGTGAGATGCATGAAGCAACGCGTAGAGTTTTATCGGTACTACTAAGGCAGGTAAGACACATAAGATTGTCAATATCACATTTCAACAAGAGACTAGCTGTTGTAGGTATGATAGAACCTGCCTCGTGTGTGTTATTGCAGATTGATGGATTTGAACAGGACAAAAAAGTAGTTGTGATTGCTGCAACCAATAGAAAACAAGATCTCGATCCCGCTTTAATCAGGTAAACCTCCAAAACAGGTTTCAACTCTTGGCTGCAGCAGTATCCTGACCAGTGTCTTATGCGTCTACCTGTAGCCGGTTCGATTCCATGATAATGTTTGGCTTACCGGACTTGCAAACTCGTCAAGAAATCATCGCTCAGTATGCAAAACAACTATCAAAGCCTGAACTAGTCCAGCTTGCACAGGCCACAGAAGCGTAAAGTTTCCAACTTTTTTATTCTTTTAACATAATACTTCCAAAGTTTGTAATGAATCCACATGGACTTTTGTTTTTGTTTGGTCATTTTAATTGCAGAATGTCAGGAAGGGATATTAGAGATGTATGTCAAGGAGCAGAACGCACATGGGCTTCAAAGGTGATGTGTAACAGTTGGTTAAATGTAACATAGGTGCAGATCATTAAGACATTAACCTTTATATGTGCTGTTGGATACAGTTGATTCGTCGAGCAAAAGCTGATGGTGTACAACAACAACAAGTCACTCTACCTCCGATACAAGAGTACTTGGAAAGCGCTGAAGCTCGGCGCAATGCTCTTCGCAGTGTCGCAGAACTGAGGGAACAAAATTTGCCTGCTCGTTCCAAGAAGCCTCTGCTTGATTTCGAATGACAAATGTACATTTAACACAAAATAACTTAGGAAAAATAACATATATACAAGGCAATTTACTTTTGTTTCATTGCATTTTACCTTTTTTTCTATACCAAAAGCTCGAGGACGTTGTTACAGGATCAGGTGAAACCCTTGTTCGAAACTCAGGTTCTACGTGTGCGGCAATGTTTTTAAATCTAATCCGTACACTAAACCGGACATCTTGATGGATCACCAGATTACTGGATAAACCATGGATCAATATATTAATTAGTTTTAATATATATAATTATATTAACTATTTAAAATATAAGATAAATTTCACATTTCGTAAAAAAATATAAAAATATTTAAATTTGCTCTTTTTATTTTATTTATATTTATATTTTTATTTTTATTTCACATACCAAATATTTAAAATTAGATTAAATTATTTAACAACTTTTTATAAGAAATTAAGAGTTGAGACATATAGTAAAGTATAACAAGACTTAAATCTTATAAGTTTTAGATATTTATCATTGTTCAATATATATATATTTTTAGAGGCATTATGTAATGTTCATCAAAATCAATCATAATAAATTGTTTAGTCAATATATTAATGATTTTTTCAAAATTAAATAAGATCAATAAATATGATTCACAACCAAAAAATATTATTTCTTTATAAACATGTAAAATCAAGAAAATAAAATAAAAACATATGATCATGAAAAGAATAAAGATAAAGTTTATATGATAAAAGTTATAACCTGAAAAGTTAAAACAAATGTTATTAATTACATATGAAAGCAACAAAGGTTCTAAAAGAAAGTTGAAGAAGATATATAGTATATGTGATAGCACGAAAAATAATAGTTTCATAAGAAAACTAAAAATTTAAAAAGAAAAACTTAATTTCTTATTTTTGGTATATAAAAACTATTTAATAAAGTAGTTCAAAACCTAATAAAACTAAATAAAAATAGTTATATGGTTCACCCGATGGTTCAACCGATAGTCGGGTCACCGGGTTTAAGAGTTTTTAGTGGGTTTTATCGGAGTTTTAATTAGTGGATGTTTGTTAAAACCTAACCCAAAATTATTTATCGGGTCACTGGGTTTGGCGGTCAGACCGAGGGTCCAGGTTGGACGTGGTGCACTAGCGCCTAGCGATAACTTTAAAAAAAATCTATAAAAAAAATATTTTAACACTAAAACACTAAACTCTAAATCCTAATCCTAAACCCTAAACTCTTGGGTAAATCATAAACCCTTTGGAAAAATCTTAAACATTAAATCAATAAAATTAATACTAACCAATTATACTGTTTTTATTTATTTTTATCTTTTTATTTAAAAAATAATATAATGTAACAATATTTTGTTTTTATTTTATACATATATTAAAAGAATTATTTTTAAATTGTGTTTTTTGCAATTATTACTTTTTATTTTATTTTTGTCTTTCTATTTTAAATCTATATATATAAAGGAGAACATACTCTCTTCTCATGAAGCTACCTCAGCAGTATCTAAAATTGTGACATATGTCATTTTTTAGTTGCAAAATCAAAGTTTAACTAAACTCTTATGTTTATTTGTTTCGTGGACCATTATTCTAAATTAATGTCTGACCCATATTTTTTCAGAGTTTCACACAGTTACCAACATAAAAAAAAACTTATTTCTTGACATGAAGCGGTGGCCAGATAAATTCGTAATAACATTTTGGCAACGTGATGACTATGTGATAAATAAATATGAACTCCATGTTTTTTTTTTGTATAATGCTTCATCCTATGTTATGCTTCAGTAGTTATGTGTATGTTGATAATACCATATTTAATCCCAGTCTTTAAAATATAATAACTTCAGTTTAAAAATATTTTTTTCGCATTCAATATCTACATTAAAATACTCATATTCAATACTCAAATATGTTACACTTTTAAAAATCAAAATATTTTTTTTTGTTGAAAATATCCTTTTGGCATTCATTATTTCGACTGTAATATTTTTTTAAAAAATTTTCAATATATTACAATTTTGAAACAAGGAAATATCTTTTTGTACATTGTAAAATTTTCAAGAATAGTATATTCTATACTTCAAGGAAAACAATTAAAATATATATCATACGCAATGAAAATTAAGTGTAGAAAGAAAATAATTAATAAACATAAAGGAAAAGACTATAATATATATAACAAAATAGAAAACAATCAGAAGCTAAAAGATAAGCTTTATCTGTTTGAGGCGGATGTGTCCAACTAAGATAGGAGTGTTTAACGAAGTGGTTGGATAAGAGGTGATCAGATTTATCATTCCACTCGACAAACTACTTAAAAGTGAAAATATAATAATATTATGTGGGTATTTATCAACATTTTAAGTTTTCAACCAAAAAAATTCAAAAGATATGCTGGAAAATCATGCTAAAAATATAACAATCATCATTTCAAAAATATCACTATTACCCTGAAAATGCTATAATATATAACATTAAGATATCTCAAAATAGATAACATGTAAAAATATATTGTTATTTGTAGAATTTGAAAATATATAATTGTAATCTTTTATATTATAATTCTAAGATTTTTTGTAATAAAAAATATCAAATATTACATATTGAAAATATAGATTACTTTCAATTTAGATTAAACTAGTCATTTTAAAATATTCAATAAAATTGATAATATATTGTATAATTTTTTCACTTACTAACCCGCCCGTAGGGCGGGCCAATCCCTATTACATAAATTAGGATCCCGATTTATGGATCTCTCGGTTCGAGAAAGAAAAATAAGAGGATCGAACCATTTCTTCTGACTCTTTTTCAAATTCGATGACAGATATTTGAATGCTTGCTTGAGTTAGTGGGAAGTTTACTAGATAGACATTATCGAATTAATATAATGTTAAAATATTTTTTTTAAGATTTTTTTTTGTTTTTGTACATATTATTATTATTATTATTATTATTATTATTTTAAAAACAGAACATAATTTAACAAGATTTTGTTTCCTTTTTAAAAAGATATCAAATATGAAATAATATCATTCTATTGGTTGGTGAATCTAAAGACTTACCTTAGGGGATGAACCCAAGAATAAATCTTCGGGATTACGCGAGATGGAATTTTTTATACTTTTATCTGTATAATACTTTATTTATATGTATAATACACAATATTTATGTATATAGTACATGCTTATTTATAAATCCTTGGTTCTGAAATTATAAATACATATCGAAGTAGATCACAAAAAATAATTACATTTATTACAATCCAAATCTAGTAATCTAAGTCTAGGCGGAGAGTAGATTAAGAAATAGTTTTGTTAGGTGAAGTCAACAAGTTTACTTCGTGTAGTGGTTAGTGGTACTAGCAAATTTCCATTACACTTGGGTTCGAATCCAGATCTCGTATTTTATCGTTTTTTTTTGCAAGTGCTGTAGAAACTTTCCACAGCCCAAATTATTTTTAAAGCAAAATTTTCCAATCATGCTTTATAAAGATTTTTTAAAGCCACAGCTTTTTCTTTCCTTTTTGTTTAGTTTTGATTGGGGAAAGCACTAAACCTAGAGCATTTATTTTTTTGCTTTAAAAATTTATATGTAAATGATTAAATTTTTTTAAATCTACAGTCAAAATCTTACAGCTAAATTATTTACAGCCACAACAGAAAGATCTACAGCTATAATTCTACAGCAAAAAAATATAAGAGATATGGATCAAAATTTTGAAGATTGAAACAACCGATTTTTAGTTACTTTGTGCCGATTGTTTTATTTCTACGGTCAACTCGGAAAAAGTTCGGATCTCCGCCTAGCCTCTCCGATCAACCCTTCCTCGCCACGGTAACCTCCCGATTAGCGATTATCCGTCTGTGTAATCGCCTACTCGGGCGCGTTTTTGAACAACTGAACCGTTGTATCTAAAGCTTCTACACTCTTGAATTTATAACTTTGATACTACTGTTGTTAGTTTGAGCTGCGTAACGACGCCGTATAGATTGAAGTCCAAACTACATCGTATTAAGCAACTATATTAAAGCGAAACGGCACCGTATCAAGAACTACCATAAACATATCCCCCGAACCAAAAGTCAAAAGAGTCTCCGACTCTCTGTGAACTTACCAAACAAGAGTCTCTCTCAGCACATCGAAGGTAAATGTTGGTGTTAGGACGGTTACTGTCGCCAGTGGCTCTTGTTTCTCAACTTTACTATCAACTATTTCTCTGAGAACCTTAAAGTTATAGTTTTTTTGTATGGGTATAAGCACTTATATTGCCTTGAAACTGTTCGACGAAATGCCTAACTGAGTGTCAATTTTTTTCAGGGTTAATAGGTTTTGTCTGTTCGTCAATGCTTGAGTTGTTTTGATACGCAGCAGCCATGGATGGTAAGTGAATGATTCTTGGGAATTTGAAATTTTGTGAATTTGTTTTTGCTTTAAGTAAAGCCATTTCTTTGCATATTGTTGTGTTACATTTTTGGGAATTGGTGCAATTAGAATGCAAAGTGAAAAAAAAAAATCGACATTATTTGAATAATGATCATGAAATTGAATCCAATCTTACAAGCCCTTATATTGTTTGCGGGTAAAAGCTCTATGAAGTTGTATTCTTTGCTAGTTTTAGATTCATACTTCTGTTGTAAAACTTCTTAGTATTGCTTGTTGAGACCATTCTGTATCACCATTTGTGCGTTATTTTATTCCTGGAAAATACGAAATTTGAGGTCTCCTGATGATGAGCGGTTTTGCATTGTAATATATATGTTTTTTTTATGAGACGTTGTAACATTGGTGATACTACAATTTTTCAGTTGATTCGCAACCAATGATGGAGGAGACCATACTGGTCGGTGACGACCTAATGATGGGTCCTCCATCTCCTGTCATACCTCCTGAAATTGCTTCACATGTCCTTGAAGGTGTTGAGCTGTGCGATGGTATCTTGAGGAATCTATTCCTATGTAAGTCTCCTATTTACCCGTTACAAAGTCTGTGTATCCTCGGTTTGATTTATAAGATAACAAAACATCTCTCAGTGAGTAGAACTTGATTATTTCTTTTGGGTTTCAGGCTTGCAAATTAATGATATTGAACCATTTTGCCAAGATGAGCTTGCCTTGTATAGACAATGTGCTGAAAACAGGGTAATGTTGTCTTTCTCCACATCATCCCTCTGCTCTATTTTTTCATATCTCATATTCATATCTTTGAGTCTTTTTTTTATCATGATCTTTTCTTTTTTTCTCTAGGACAAGGTATTGAGAGTAAGGCTTCAAGAGAGCGAGTACAAGTTAGGATCGTCAATGCCTATTGATCTTGCTAAGGACAGGGTTACTCAGCTTGAAGCTGAAGCCACATCACTAGAGAGGTACTCTTTCTTAAACATTGTGCAGATTTAACCTTTTTTGGATAAATCTTTATGATAAGAGTTTCTTTCCGGATCTGTGCTACCATGTAATCATGTATGTCCTCACAAACTCTACTGATAATCCAAATGTTTTCATGATCAGGCATTTGATTCTAGCAAGTGGAGCTGAGGGAATCGAAGGATTTCGTCAGAGATGGAGTTTGCACGGTCGTATGACGGATACCAAGTACTGTGAATATACCTTATCTTATAGAATAGCAATGTTCATAATACATTTCATCTTGGAATTAACATGCTGGCATTAGACTAGTTGAACCCATAAACATCACAAAAACTGGCGTTCACGTTGCTGTTGTTTTATATATACATCTCTAACTGAGCTATGGACTGTTATATGGTAAAACCTGTTTGATTGGGTCTGATTCTTAGCTTAAAGGCATGGTTCTTTTTCCTTTCATGGATGTCGCAGAAAAAGACTGGAATCACTGAAGCAAGGAATGGAGAATAGGAAAAAGGAGTCGTCACATGATCAATCGGCCAAACCTTCTACTTGGAAAAGATGGGTTCTTTGGTGAAGCTTTTCATCATTTTCCTAGCATGCTCCAGAAGGAATCATACATTCTAAACAAATAAAAGTATAAAACACTTATATGGTGCAGATGCTTACCATGTAAACCATGTTTGGATATGGAAAGTAAAAATATTTACTCAAAGCATCTCCTTATAACTTGAAAGCAAGAAGAAATTTACTCTATAGAATTTCCTTTTGTGGGTTGTGATTAAACCAAATATGATGCTCACTAGTCACAAGACTAACTTGGGAACATAAAAATGTTGATCCTTGATAGTGAAAGACATTGTTGTGTTAACAAAGCTTGTGACATATTGGGTGCACATTGGCCAAGAAATACCACTGTTGAGCGGAACATCAAACTCTTTATGTAACACATGTTCGTGCATAACATTCTCTCACGTAAACATTTAATGTAACGACACTCCTCACACGTATAAAACCGTCTATATATATACGTATATCTCACTCACTCACATATGTCTGCACCAAATCGATGGTGATCCTTTTTGAGACCACAGAAACTGGGTTTAACAGAAGATTCATTTTCTTTTCTTAGTTATGATCCAATTTCTGAGATTTTATTATCACCCATCACTGTCTTCCAAGTAGCATGCATGTGATCTCTTATCTAGAATGTCGGTAGGTTAAGATTCGGTTTCTTCCGGTTTTGATAGAGCCAGTTTCGTACCAACCAAAAAAAAATCTAAGCCTCCTACTACTCTTTTATTTAGAGAGGCGGTTTTAAACTGAACCGAACATGCCAAATTAAATCAAAATGTTCGGTTTTTGGTTCATGTTCATTTAAGGTTCTGAACCGATCAAACACATTTTCAAAATTTATTTGGTTATAAGTTAATTAGATTTTTTTTTTTAATTTATAGTAAACCGAGAAAAAACTTAACCGATTTATACCGATATTTATATAACTTAAATTACCTGAACTTAATCGAATTTAATCAAAAATCTAAAGTTCATTTCCTTTCGATAACATAATTGGAAAACCGAATCAACCAAAACCAAGCTGAATCGAACTGTAATTTGTTTCGGTTTGGTTCACGCGTCACAGAACAAATCTCACGGGTACAAAACAAATGACTAAGTGAGGGTTTGGTAGGATATCTCTCGATTGATTCTCTCATCATCTCTCCCTCCCTCGTTTTTGCACATCAAAAAAAAAAGAAGGTAAATGGCATCGAAGGACAAGAAACCAGCGAAGCCGTCGAGCAGTCGCGCCGGTAAAATCCGCACTCTCTCCGATCTCAATCGGAGATCAAATCCGGACTCCGACAGTGATTCCGACGGTCCTCAAGAGTACTACACCGGCGGCGAGAAAAGGTTAGAATCGTAATAAGTCATGTTTGGATCTGAAATCTGAAATTGGAATCTTGTTGTTGGTTGCAGTGGTATGATTGTTCAAGATCCATCGAAGAAAGATGATGTTGATGAGATATTCAACCAAGCTAGACAACTTGGAGCAGTTGAAGGACCTCTTGAGACTCCTTCTTCCAGAAGCTTTACTGGAACTGGGAGGTTGCTTTCTGGATCAAGTGTTGAGACTGCTCCTCCTCAACACCCTCACCCTGTTGCTCACAACATTATCTTCTGGTCTAATGGTTTCACTATAGATGATGGTCCTTTGAGGATGTTGGATGATCCAGAGAATGCGTCTTTTCTCGAGGTGCCCTACTACTACTACTACAGAATCTAATGTCTCTTGTCCTTATGTTTTTTTTTTTGTAGAGTATTCGAAAGTCTGAGTGTCCGAAAGAGCTTGAGCCTGAAGATAGAAGAGCCCCTGTACATGTCAATCTCATGCGAAGGGAAGAGAAATGTCCTGTCAGTGTTCTATCTGTATTCTAAATTTCTATGTTTTGCAGCATTGTGGACCAAATGTAATGTAATGTTTCAACTCATTGTAGGAAAGAGAGAAGCCTAATGTTTCATTTCAGGGTGTTGGAAGGACTCTTGGTGGCAGTGGAAGTAGCTCATCAATGGCTCCAGATTCCGCAGCCGTTCCGGTACTAACCGGTTCAGCACCACCATCTCCAAGTCTTGCGATAGATGAAACCGCTCCAACCACATCGATCCAGATTAGGTTAGCGGATGGGACTCGGCTTGTGGCTAAGTTCAATCATCATCACACGGTCAACGACATTCGTGTTTTTATTGACTCCTCTCGGCCTGGAGCTCCGGTTAACTACCAGCTTCAGACAATGGGGTTCCCACCTGCGCCTTTGACTGATCTCACTCAGACCATTGAACAAGCTGGTCTAGCCAACTCTGTTGTTCTTCAGAAATTCTAGAATGTTTTTTTTTTTTTTTTTGTCTTTCTATATGCATTATGGATAAGAGTTGCCGTAACTGTTATTGTAACCAGAAAAATGGTTGGCGTCTCTGTAAGTTACTTAATGGGGTCTTATCATATCGGAAGAAAAGACAGTGGTATAGATTTTCTTGATTTATCGAAAATAATGTTTTCATTACGCATTTTGTGTTATTCATGGTTTTCAGTTATACATTACTCGTTTTGTAAAAGTATAATCACTGTCATGTTTCTGGTAAAACATGAATTTGTCTAGTTTGTTTTTTTTTGGAAGGGGGGGGGGTGGTCATATGATAATATTAAAACCAAAGAGTACACTGAAGGGATGCATTATTAGTTTCAATTACATTAACCTCGAAAACTTCGATAAAAAAAAAACCTCGAAACAACTTTGTTTTGTTAAATCTAACAATATGTATTCATATGGCGATGACTCTGAATCATATACTAGGCATGACGGAGCGGTAAGTCTAACTGTATGTGACAGGGGTTTAGACAACATAGTGTGATTGAGATTGGTCTCTTCGTTTGATGTTACATAGATGGTTGAAAGAATAAATTGGATGGCTTATCTCGATCAGAGAAAGGTATTCATCAAAATGGAGCCATTATGGTTATCTATGTCTACAGGTTAGAGAACATCGAAGACTATGCTCAATCTTATTTTGGTTCAGGCCAAATCCATGCCTCTCCTTGTATCCATTCCCGTCTCTAGGTAAACTCCACACGCGTATAATCGATTCGATTCTTGATTAGTTTTGTCATTTTCAAGAAAAGGGTTTAGCATTAACACAACGGTATATATGTATGTGTATGTACAAACGGTTTCATGTGTCTACACTCGCTGGAGACTTAAAGAGCTTTCACTTATCGGGATCAGTTTCGACATGGCTAGTCTCCAAGACGTATTCACGCATGAGTTTTGTGTTGGATCTATCCACATTCTGCATTTTCACAATCACAATATGCTTATACATTTATATACTTCACAATCAGCAATATAGAGAGAGAGTATGGTGACAGGAGATCAGAACCTTGAAGGAAAGGCGCTGTAAATTGTCCCATTCGAAATCGTTTTTGCAATAAGCAGACCGTACCTACATTAACGGTAACAAAGGGTTCAAACCCGTAAATACAAACCTAGAGATATGTGAAGTGTATTTTTGAAAATGTATTAAAGGAGAAAGGAAAAGCTTTAGCATATACCTCTAAAATTCGAAGGGCTTGCATTGTCCATGAGACAAAAAAAAAACAGAATTTGATTAGTTTCTTATATGAAATCAGATGAATATAAAGATATACTAAGCATATGGATATATAAAATGACTATTTATTTAACCAAGAACATTGTAATCAGGTTACTAATACATAAAAGGTGTTTTTATTTAGTACCTAAGTTCATGTGACGTGAAGAGCGACGCATGAGAACAGCGCAGAACTTATCGCCGTCACTTACTGAGTTTGTGTCTAAGAATTCTCTTAACTCCATATACGCCTCAGGGTTATAACTCTGTCATTATAATTAATTACTCATTAATTATAAATTAATCATTATCTTATTAATCCAAACACTTAAGTTGGATACGAATCAATGATCACCTCAAGCTGAGCAGACACTATCCTCACTGCAACATAAGTAAAAAAGTCATGCAGATGCTTCGCTGCCTTAGCTTCCGGTGAAGCTTCTCCAAAACCTAACTCAATTATAATACAATACTTAGAAAAATGGATACTAATCTATACAGAAAATAGTGTTATGGATCTAATCACATTTTCTTACAAAATAATATAACATACCGGGAACGTACATCTTGTTTGTACATATGCGAGTTGGTTTGCGATTTCGAAACTTCTGCATTGATGGATAAGAAAGTGAAGGCTTTCCAAACCTTGGAGGATTGAAGTAAGAGAGGTAAGAGTGATGAAGAAGGAGGGAAGAAGAAGATGACTCCATAGATGTTTCGATGAAGAAAAGATAGAGATGCGTTGTTTTTTACTTGGTCGTATATAAGAAAATGAATTAGGTTCACACATCAAAACAGGGACATCAAAATATCAAGAAGATATGGATAAATAAGTATCTTCTGTTTTAATTGTTCAAAAAAGGTATCTAAGTTATTAATTAAGAGTCTTGTTTTTTTATCTACTAATAAAAGTTGTTTGGACTAATTCATTAATATATAATGTACTTATGACAAATAAATCTTACCTAAGATCTTATTTATATTTGGGAGAATTTCACTTATACCACTTTGGTGGTACCACTTTTCATTTTTACCATCAACAAAGGAATATTTTCAAAAATACACTTTTCATTAAATGATAATAGACTCTTGTACCTTTCTTCTTTATATATTACTAGATGTTTTGCCCGCACTTGCAGGTTTAATAATTTTACTAATATGAATAAATAACTATATAATCATTTAAAGTAAATTATAATAAATTATTGCTCATAGACTCAAAATATTTAATAATAAACTAAAAAAAATGTTTCTATATATAAAAATTTTCATCATCATATAAATAATTTTCATTACACAATTAATTTTAAAAATACTCATAAATTTAAAATATTTAGTAATAAATTAATATCATTTTTAGATATAACACAAAATGTATAATAAAATTATCTTTAGTAATGTTTTGAATAACACAATATAAATTATCTAAACATAATTTTTTTGCGAATTGATTTTTCATAATTAACTATATATTAACAAAAAGAATTATTTTTTTTAAGGTTAATAACAACTTTATAACACAATATAAAAATTTAGATAAGGATAATTATTAAATTCATGAAATTTTTTTTTAATTTAGAATTAATTATACATTAACAAATATAATTATTTTTTCAAGGTTGATAAGGACTTTATAACATAATATAATTTTTTTATATCAAATTCATGAAGCTCGTTTTTAATTTAGAATTAATTATATATTAACAAATATAAGTATTTTTCAACGTCGATAAATATTTTATAACATAATATAAAAAAAATTAAATTAGGATAATTATCAAATAAATGAAATTCGTTTTTACTTTATAATTAACAAATATAATTATTTTTCAAGGTTAATAAAGATTTTATAATCCAATATAAAATAGTTTTAGATAAAGATAAAACCAAAATCATTGAAATTCGCTTTTATTTATGTTTAATTATATATTCAAATTTTTAATTATTCATTAAGGGTATAAACGATATTAGCCACCCTAACTTTTAACGTGAGAGCTCTGTTGCGAAAAATCACTTCGCAAATAATAGTATAGATAGATATAAAATAAATATTTAAATAAATAAAAAACACAAAAACATCAATACTAAACTCTAGTATTCATTAATACTAAACTCTAAACCCTAAAAGATCAATTCTATACCCTAAACCCTAAAATATTAACTCTAAACCCTAAAACATCAATTCTAAACTCTAAACCCTAAAAAGTAAACCCTAAAAATCAATCCTAAACCCAAAAATATCAATTCTAAACCCTAAACCCAAAATATCAATTCTAAACCCTAAACTCTAAACCCTAAACCTTAAACCCTAATAAATCAACACTAAACCCTAAAATATCAATTCTAAACCCTAAACTCTAAACCCTAAACTTTAAACCCTAAATTATATATCCTAAACTCTAAATTTGAAACCTTAAACCCTATCTTCGAAACCGTAAATCTTAAATTCTATACCCTAAACCCTAAATACTATACCCTAAACCCTAAACTCGAAATCCTAAACCCTAAATTCTAAACCCTAAACTCAAAATCCTAAACCCTAAAATCTAAACCCTAAACCCTAAATTCTAAACCCTAAACCCTAAATTCTTAACCCTAAATCCTAAATTATTAACCTTAAACCCTAAATTCGAAACTCTAAACCCTAATCCATCAAAACCTTATTAAAATTGATAAGTTTAATTAGTTAAGGGTATAATAGTATTTTGCCTATTAAAATTTTAATGGTAAAGTTGGTTAGTGTAAAGTTGAAAAGTGGTATATTGAAAGTGTTGTTTCTCGCAACTTCCCTTTATATTTAGGTAATATTAGTTTAGAATATATTGTGCACTTGATATTAACCAATTCTATCGACATGGTCACATAAATCATGCGATCTATAATGTGACCATTAGTTGTTATCACATTATTTCAGCTCCACATACTTACTCTAACTGTGCATTTCATATATTTTTATTTTATTTTGTAACTGGCATTTCTCATATTATATCCCATTATTTCATTACTGGTTTGATATTTTTTTTTTTCATATACCAAAACTCTCTTTGACATTTAAAAATTATATTACCTATACGAAAAGTATAAAAATTTGTTGAATAATGTTGCATATACAAATTTAAATGTAACTGGGTAGACAAACATCTGTTCTGAAATATTTGACCTATACTAACAATATAAACATTCGTTTTTGTAATTTTAGATTTACAAATGTAAATATAAACTATATAAATATCTAAACTCTACTTATGAAATAATATAGTTTCAAACTTTTCTCTACATATTCTACTTAATTATACATAATAATAGACAAGAGAAAATATATTTTATTTAAATTTAAAAATACTATATTAACATTATAATTAATGAATATTTCCCTTAATTATACATAATAATAGACAAGAGAAAATATATTTTATTTAAATTTAAAAATACTATATTAACATTACAGCCCCAAATTTTAATCTTGATATATTTGATTTTAAAATCTTCTAAGTACTATGATTTTTTGAAAACTCTGTAATATAATTTAAAAATCCATATAGTATTTACAATTCCATATAAATATACAGATTGTCAAATTTAACATATGAATTTTAATTAGTGTTTACAAATCTGTAGTTTTTTTTCACGAATTTGAGTCTTTGTATTTTTAATAAGGAAATTAATTCAAATCTTTTTAAATCCATTATGAAATCAAATTCATTAGTAAATCCGTAGGATTGAGTAACACCTGAATTGGTTTGAATTTATAAATCATGAAACCAATAACAGCTGATTTCAATATAGAATAAATAATATTATATTTAGTTTAGATTTTTAAATCCATTAAAATACACAAATCAATAATCCCCACTAATCTTCAAAGTCAGAATATGCCTAAAAAATATTTCTCTAGCTTCCAAATTAGATACTCAATATATAATTTCAACAATAAAACTGTTTTAATTCTATATACTACCTCTATATTAACTAACAACTCAAGTGTTTCTTATTTTAAGATACTTATTCATTAATACATATTTTAAATTTTGAAAAATTTAGATGATTTATTACAGTATATTTATTTATATACTCTGTAAATTAAGTAGTTCACAATCTTTCATAATTTATTTATTATTCGTATAACAAACCAATTCAAATAATATAATTCAAATAATGTCATATTTTGTCTACTACACAATATGTAGTAGACAAAAATATATTGTATGCACACATTATTCATTAACAACCTATACCAAAATACAATATATATTAAAAATTAAATAATATACACGACTTTAACACAATATATGACATTAAAGTATATATTTAATCAATTTATCATATAAACAAAATATTTATCACTATAAAGGTAAAATAACTGCGCTTGGCGCAGATTTAATTTTAATCTATACTATTAAAAGAGAAAGGACCTTAAGAAATCTACTTAAAAAGGTTGTTAGACTATTTCATTACTAATTATTCTATTGTATACGACCAAATAAATCATAACATAACCTTATACAACCCGGGAATCTAGAATACCATGGCATAACAAACTAAATTATGGCTTCATTTATTTAAAAATACTATTTGTTTGTTTTGTTACGTATCGTTGGATTCAAATTTTATAAAGTCCACCTGTTATTATCTAATGGATTTCTTGCACTAAAAAAATATTAAATTTAACTTTTACATACATATACCACAATGAATGGACAAATATAGTAAATGATGGCCTTATATTATAATCTCATAACTTGCGGTTGAATTAATGTCTTTTATGTTTAGCATAAATAGTTTTGCAGATAAAGTTCTATGATATTAGACAACACAAAATATTTATATCAAAAATATTTTGTTAATCTTCTGATAAACAACTATGTGTTATGTAAATTATGTTTATTTTTTTCCACCTAATAATATTTTAACTTAACATCTACACTTTTCAATATTACATAATTGACTTACCGCTTGACTTAAGTCAATTTAAAGTTAATTTCATATACTATTTTGTAAAAATAATATGTGACCAATTTTGTTAATTCAAATCACCTACCGAATATTCTTAAATATAGATGGTATACATTTTATGTTTAGTGAAAACTATCAGAAACTCTCATAAAATTTAACTAAAATGTCGGAAAATATAAAAGTATTTGAAGTAATTCTGTGTTAATAATTTCATGATTTAACCAACTTGACTCTTCATATATTCCATTCCTAGATTTTTAAATTGATTATATTATAATATCTATTGTTAATAAAATATAAATTTTAAATGTGATTTCATAAAGATTACAGATTTGTGATAATCACATAATCTAGATCAAGTAACTAACAAAGAGAATGTAACTTGGTATTGATCTCGAGTTTTAGGTTTTTGGGGTTCGAGATTTAAACCTCATTCGAATATTTATATTTTTTTCTCAGTTCAGGTTGGTATATCAATTCAAATCATTTATAAATTCAAAACTAAAAAAATATTTTAATATCTTCCAAAAAACATTTAGCATATATTTGTAATAATGTATGATCAAATACTTTAAACCGGATTATATACTTGGTGTCGGGTCTACGGGTTCAATCATGATATAGATCGGATATGAAAACACTACTTGAAATTGAAAAATTATAAAACAACTTTTAAACTATTTGTTTCTAATATGTTATAAATTTATGCAAAATTTTCAAAATGGTAATTAAAAAAATATTTGCACTTTGAAAAATGGGTCAAAAAACATTAATAACTTCTAAATCGAAGAGAGATAC